GGTAAAATTGGACCTCACTTCAGTTCTTATGAAGCTCATATGCGTTCTTGCACATGACCTCTGCTGGAGCAGGTTAAAACAAGTCTAGATTGGTGAGGGGGAGGTCCTCCAGTCACTGTGGAGTATTCATTCTCTCACATGGAAAAGGGGAGCCCGGGGAGTCTGTCCAGCGTCAAAACACAACTCCAGTCAGCAGCGGGGGTTTGGTTCTTTTACACTGGGTTAGCCATCTCCAAGGTCATAAAGCAAGGCCTCTGTCCTCCGCTGCAGCTGAGTTTACACACTGTTTCCAGATTGTTTATCCTGGCCCAGAATCAAGGCAACAACGTATTTCCATTATACATGTTTGACAGACTAAGGGGTAGGATGGGGTGCTGCAAGGGGCAGGTTTTTGATTTTTTTTTTTTTTTTTACATCAAAGGGACATTTTAGAGCCCTGAAGATTATGAACCAGTCTAAACAGCGTGTCCATGTAACAGAGGTGGAGAGAGCTGAGGCTTTTAAAAGCCAAATGTCCAGATCTGGGTCAGTAGCGCCTGCATCCCAGGTAGTAGTGGCAGGATAATGAACCAGGGTGAGGTTCCCAAAGCCCTATATGCCCTGTCTGTGCTGGGCGGTCCTTCCCCCTAAAAGCTCAGTTTTCGGAGGATGCTCCCTGGAGCCTAGCATCACATCCTCCACAAGGAAATATTCAAGGTTGACCAAAAAGACCCCATTTAAAGGATCTCCACAGCAGGTCTCTTGGCACAAAGAGCAAATGGGTGCAATCTAAATGAATGTTTTACTTCTTCTGTTTTTGGGTATGTATGTGTGTGGTGTGTATGCATATGGATGTGTGTACACATGTGTACAATGGGCACACATTCGGAGAGACACTGGATGTCTTTCTCAACTCCTCCCCATGTTATTTATGGAGTCATGGTCTCCCGCTGGACCCAGAGCTTAACAGGTCTGCTAGTCTAGCTACCAGTATGCCCTGAAAATCTCCTGCCTCAGGCAAACCATCACTCCTGCCCAGCTTCTTACCCGACTGTTAGGGACCTGAGCTCCTGCAGTCCTCACATAATTCTTAGGGATCTGAACTCCGGTCCTGACTCTTGTGCTGGAAACACTTTCTTGTGCCATCTCTAAAAAGAACATCTTTCTTGTGCTAAAGTAAAAACAACATAGAAAAAATGTATCAAAAATGGTGACCATCCAAATCACTGAGCACTATGGATACAAGAAAAGGGTCACAGGGATGTCTCTCTGACCAGCGGCGCGGGGATGTCTCTCTGACCAGCAGCACGGGGATGTCTCTCTGACCAGCGGCACGGGGATGTCTCTCTGACCAGCGGCGCGGCGCTCAGGTTTCTTTAGATACTGTCTACAGTTATAATACGCCTTGCACAAATTTATTAAGTGTAAGGTGGGAGAGACACAGATCTGTCTGCATAGATATTTAAGTTTGTGGCAAAGCATCCCTTATCAGGGAATTCTTCAGTTTTACTAAGTTTGGGAAAGTGACCTTCACCATGACATAGTTTATTCAACAGTAGTGGGGGAGGGCGGCAGATTCCATGACCTATCCAGAGCAGCCACGCCTTCCCCAGCTTACCTCAAGAAACCCAGTTTCTAGACGTGGAGGTTTGCTTAGGGGAGAACCTCAAATGAGAAGGGAATTTAGCAAGCAACAGCCTGTGTAACATTAACACCCAAAGTTGCCCTTGGGGTTAATCCAGTCTTACTGACGGATTTCCAATGCAGATTGCAAGTCAACAGACCGTTGTGGACCATTGTTATATTCCAGGCGCGGAGATGGGCACAGGGGAGCTAACACTGAGAAAGACACAGCCCCTTTTGTTCTGAAAACACATTTTCTGGCTGCCACCTTTTGCAGCAGATCCTCCAGACCTCCCACAGTCCTACCTCCCCCTGCCCAAGTTAGAACACTCAAGCCCTTCTTTCTGACCAATCCCCTTAATGCCAGAGTACACACTGGGCCAGGAGAGCTGGGTGGTTATAGATTTCCACTCCATTTGGAAATTAATAGCCTGTGATACAGCCAGGAGGTGCTAGAAAGGAGTCAGAAAACCGTCTCTCCAGGCTCAGGGCTTCCCAAATGAGGCTTATCACCTTGAGCCAGTCTCTCCGGTCCTTGGCTATAAAGGAGGCAGGTATGAAAGCCTCATCTTTGTGCGAAGTGCTCAAGTCCAACAGTTCTGGCTTCTGATGGTGGACAGGAAGTGCTGATGCCAAAAAGCAAACCAAAATGCCTTCCGCTGCCTGTGCCCACCAGTCCTGTGGCATGGGGGGGGGTCCCCTTAGTCGGGGAGACCAGCCCCACTTGAGCATGATTGAAAGTTGGCTCGGCTCGTCGGGCCCTCAGACCCAACTTTTAACTTCGCTGCTTCCCGTCTCCATGAGCCTGAGCAGGGTACTGGATTCCAGAGCCACGTGTGTAGGGTGATAAATGACATAAATGACGCCATAGCTTTGGGGGCAGGGGTTCACAACAACCCAAAGTGTGTGTTCATATCTCACAGAGCCTGGCACAGGGCAAGCTGTCAGAATGTCTGGTGGTGGCGCTGACAATATCCTGCTCGCTTTCTGTAGCTCCCGCACCTGGTACCAAGTGGCCATTTAATAAATATTTGTAGAGAGAGCGGAGCGAGACGGCAGTAGACAGACACACCAACGGGGCCGGATTGGAGCATTAACATAAGATACCTGCCTTCCGGGTGTATAAAACACAGTGTCTAAGCCCCTCAAGCAAGAATTTCTATAGCAGCGAAGCAGGTGACATAAAATAATGAGCTGGCACTTAGGGTCTGAGGACACCATCTCTCTCCAGGGGATGGCCATGCTGAGTTCTACGGCCTCCCTCTAAGAAAAGCCAGAGATTCATATTCCACACGAAATAGATGACGAAGTCCTTATAACTAAGTCAGTTTCTAAACAAATACACCATGGGTCAAGTGCGCAGCCAGCCTGACCTTGGGCTAGCATTGCTCCCCACCCCCACCCCGCCTTGGATTCTTTGTTTGAGCCTGGGAGTGGGGTACCCCGGGAAGCGATGAAAGGGTGCCCACGGGGGGAGGGGGAGGCCTTCACTTCCTAATGGCTATATTCTGACGTTCCGGATTGCTACAGCTAGCAAGTTCAAGACCAGCCTAAGATACCTGGGTCCTTGCTGTAACCCCACCCCTACAAAACAAACTCTGTGTGTGTGTGTGTGTGTGTGTGTGTGTGTGAGAGAGAGAGAGAGAGAGAGAGAGAGAGAGAGAGAGAGAGAGAGGTTAACAGCGAGTCACTGAAGGGAAAGGTGAAGGAAGGAAGGAAGCAAGAATTGGGTGTTAATGAAAAACAGGAGTTTAATTTAAAAAAAAAAAAAAAAAAAAGGCTCTCTTAAAACCCTTGTCTTCACTTTATTGTCCCTCATGTTTCACGGGGACACTGAGAGGAGGGACTAAGAAGAGGCAGGCTGAGGAAACGGAAATACACTTGGGGATCTCTTGCTACCCAAGACTTGTCGCTGGACGCCGGAAATTCCCCTTTGCTTTCTCTGCCTGTTCTGAGGAATTCCAGACAGACAGACAGCGAGGCCTCCCGTTTGTTCTGACCAGTGCTTCCCCAAAGAGGGTACAGTTGTCAGGACAGTGGTGGAACTGTGTGGAAAGGCCCCCTTGGGATCTTACTGCAGATTTCATTGCCTTATAAACTGTGGGTGAAATAAGGCAGTGTGAAGGAATGTGAGCGGAGTCCCCGGAGCCCGGGCTGCCCAGGAGCAGATGCGTTGTACTGGGCTTACTCCATGGATACTATTAAAATGTTGCTAATTCCACTGAAGCCTTTTGTTAAGAGACTTGATGGAAAACATTTCCAAATGCTTTCATACCTAGTAGTAATTGTGACTCTGTTATTTTAAGAGCAGTGTAATGTGTTAAAAATTCTTCATTGGCTGCTAGAATGGTTACAGCCTGTTGCCCAACCTTCTACACAACTCATTAGGATGATCCAGCGTGTGTTCCCTGTACTTGCTTTTGGGATACGAGGGGCTAATGAATAACACCCACTTTCTCACGCCCGGGTCCTGAGCTAATCAATAGATGCCCCCTGGAGACACAGAGATGCCCGTCCAGATGCCAGCTTTGCCAAACGAAGGTAGACAAGACTTCATGCGTCACACATCATCCTACAGGATGCGCTGTCCACAGACAGGCACCTGCCCCAGGGAGCAACTTCTAAGTACACAAATGTGAACATGGGCACAATGTACAGGGCTTACCTCCCTGAAGAGGAGCAGGAACAAGAGCAGGGGCACTGAATGGGAACCCTTCCCTGGAAAAAGGAGGCAGTTACCCCCCCCCCCCGCCACAAGTTTGTCTTTTCTGCCTGCATCCTCTCTTTGCCTGGCTCTCCCAAATATTTAGCCAACAGCCGCATACATCATTTTTATAACATTCTTCAGATTCATTTTAGAGCAGTTTGGCTCAAATAATTTCACTAATAAATTAACTAAGATCACAAGAATATAGCCTGATATGGTAGTGTACACCTTTAATTCCAGCACCGAGGCTCAGAGGCAGATGGGTCTACATAGTAAGTTCTGGGACAGCCAGGGCTATATAATAGACCCTGTCTCAAATTAATAATTAACAATAATAATCATAATTCACATGAATCTTTTCTTCTTCCTCACTCTCTCCTCTCTTTTTGCAGAAGAAAAACACGATAGTGTCCATTTATTTATTCATTTTCATTGACATGGGGTCTCACCGTGCTAACAAGCCAACCACCGGCTCCAACATGATACTCCGTCCTAAACCGCTCCAGTGGCTGGGCCTACCACACCTGCCTTTTATTACTCAGTTTAGAATACACTGGAGCCGATGATAAACAACCTTGGCACAATACCAGGCAGGCAGGCAGGCAGGCAGGCAGACGCGTGCGCACGCGCACTCGCGCCAGCGCCAGCGTTTCATGGATAGTTGCTCATGGGCTCTCTGGTTCTTTTCCAGAGCATAGGAAGCTTGGCAACATGACTGTGACCGTGAGGAAAACTGTCCCCTCTCCCGAAGCCGTGCAGATTCTCTACCAGCGAATGCGATACGAGTACGAGTTTTACCAGTATGTCAAAGAGCAGTTCCACCTGTTGAAGCGCAAGCTCGGGCTCAAGTCTCGCTCGAGCAAGCCTCCTCTGCGACCACAGTTCTTCATCCCCACCCCTCTGGAGACCGACGAGCCTATCGACGACGAGGAACAAGATGATGAAAAGTGGCTAGAAGATATTTATAAGAGGTGATACCAGCGCGACATAGCCACCGTGGCTGTATCCCCCCTCCCCCTTTCCAGAAAGTTCTTTGGGGAAGAAAATTTGTGAAGGGACTTTTGTTAATGCCCCGGTGCATTAAAAAAGAACAAAACATTCCCACATGTTGGGGTCATTGGGAGATGCCCGGTTTTGCGGGTTTTATTTCTTTAATGTTATTCTGTTTTTTTTTTTCTTTTTTCTTGCCTCCTTGAGTCTTTCCCAGATACACTAGATTGCCCCACCACAAGGCAATCTTCATAGAACAGCCTTCCCAATCCCCTTCCCCACCCTTTACAGTGACAAGAGGGAGAAGCATTTGTAAGATGTCTCCAAAAATATTACTCCCAAGGTAAAGACATCCAGATCCGTGTCTTACTGCAGAAGCAAACATGGGTGGGGAGGAATCTGGAAGCATCTGGGAGTAGAAGGGACACTGATAGGAACATGAGGAAGGGTCTCCTGGTTACCGAGTTTCTGCCCATCGCGATGGGTAGGATGCTGCCTCTGGTCTATCTCAGGCGACACTGTCACCAAGAACAGAGTAGTTATCACTGAGAAAACAAAGCAGCTCTGGCACCCACATTCCCAGCCAATCGGAGCTTGTGAAACTTGTCAGGATAAAAGCGCATGCATGGCAAGCTCCATTGAGACATTCCATCTTCAAGTGCCGTTCTGCTTGGAAGGAGCTTAGCTAGGAGTGGCATTTGCTTGTTATGTCAAGTGTTGGCAGGACAGATCAAACATGCGGGCCATGTGGCATCAGGAAAGCTCTGTGGCTGTCTGAAGCCTCTCAGCCCCCCCTCTCCCCCCCATTGTCACAAGTGGAAGTTCCAGCTTTGGCCTTGATATCTATGCCAGGAATCCTAAGCTTGACTGGACACCAGGCACAACCCCTCAAGCGCACTCATAGCCGAATTCTGCTTTACAGAATCCGCTATCTTTTGTAATTTCTAGACCTGACCTGCAGGAGCTGCTGTGTCTTGTAAACACAGGGTCCTGAGCCCTGGGCAAACAGCAGTAGAATCATTTATGGGACCTTTGTGCCTCCCCCAGGGACATCTTCCTCCAGGGACATCAGTGTCAGAAATAGCAAGACTTCCGTATAGGACATTGCTTGGTCAGCTTTTGTATAGGTTTGTGCTCCCTTGTGACCTGAGCAGACACTGGCCAATCCCTTTGCACCAAAATATGCCATCCATATCTTTCCTCCTGCCAACTAACTCCTCACCACCCACGATGCTTCTGTTCCTTTAATTTCTAGATTGTGTCTTTTTTTTTTTTTTTTTTTTTTTTTTTTTTTTAATGTCCTGAAAAATTTGTATTCTCCCTGGTGGATACTGGGCAACTAGCTGAGAGGCCACAGTACAATGGTGGCAGCAGGAAAGACGTTGGTGACCATTTGTGGCTGCCCCAGAGCCAGCCCTTGAAGAACACTAGCCAAGAGAGCTTAAACAGGACTCTGACTGGACCCAAGCTACACGTTTTCTTCTCTCTAGAAGTTTTTCCTTCCTTCACTAGAACTGGACAGAAGCCAAAGCCTAAAGCCAGTCATTTGAAAACTGTCCAGTGCGTACTAAAGCTCCTTCATCAGGAAATGCATTAAGAAGTCTCCAGCCCATGGGCTACTGGGGAAGGCAGGCATCACAGAGACCTAAGTCCAGCACTGGCCACTCTGAAACCCCTTCCTGCCTCAGGGAACTGGGACAGGAAGTGAATAAGGGAACTGTCCACAGAGGGGAAATAGCCTTAAGCAGACTTCGAAGAGCAGCCTAGAGAACAGCTACCATTCTCCAAACCAGTGGAAGAGCAGCAGCAAGGATCTAAGTGCGTCATCTCCGTACACACACAGAGCGATGGTCAGCTTACACGCTGTTCAACCTCACAATCTGAAGCTGTATTGGCTTGTTTCCCCGTCTTGTTAAGACACTAAGACAGCCCGTCACTCATACGGGTTCCCTTCTTTCTAGAAGTTTACACGGCACTGCTGTGTGAGCAACAGCTTTTATTCTCCCCCGAGGTCACTGTCACTTCACAGGAGAGGGGGCTAATGTTACTTGCAGGACCCTGGTGGTATCTTGTCCCAGCACACAGCCCCTAAGTCCCAAAAGTCAAGGTACTTAGCTTCATCAACTCACTTGGGCCCTGGCCCAACATAGTTTGTACTTCATGAGATATAGTGTACATTTTACATAGTTTAATTTAAAAAGGAAATACATTTTAAGCTAGTTGATCCTTGCCTTATTTATTATAACCTTTCAGCACATTCCAAGGTTTTAGTTACTCAGGAAGGAGTTAATTAAAATGGTTTTATTTTGGTCAGACAGATGTTTTTTTAAAAGGAAAATTATTCTTATGAACCCTCAGCTGACTTCCTTGAATGCTGTAAAACGTGCTTGTGAATCTTTTTTTTAAAAAATTAAAGAATGGTGTTTGACATTGATGGGGACTCAAAAACATAAATGGAACTAAAACCTTAGCTTAGCTAAAATAATGAAAGTGATCTGTATTTGGGGTGAAGTGTTCCTTAACTTATTCATTACCCATAGAAATAAATGAATATAAATAAGTTGACCTTTTTTCTGTTATTTTGATAGTTGGAAATTAAAGACTTCCCTCTTTCCTCAAGATGTGTTTTTATTTTTTTTACTGTGTGACCTTGAAAAATCTATCAACTTTGATCCTTGTAACCACATGACTCCCCCCAACCAAAACTGAAGTTACACACACACACACACACACACACACACACACACACACACACACGTGCACGCACGCACGCACGCGCACACACACCAAAAATAAATAAATAACCCGTGTTAAAAAACCTTGAGCTATGGGGCTAGAGAGATGATGGCTCAGAGGTTGAGAGCACTGGCTGCTCTTCCAGAGGTCCCGAGTTCAATTCCCAGCAACCACACGGTGGCTCACAACCATCTGTAATGAGATCTGGTGTCCTCTTCTGGCCTTCAGGCATACCTGAAGACAGAACACCATATGTATAATAAATAAATCTTTAAAAAAGAAAGAGAAAAAGAAAACCTTGAGCTAGCCATTCATGCATCTATTTGTATGTGTAAAAACAAACAAACAAACAAACAAAAGGCTCTATTTCCGAGTGCTGATTGGCTTGGTGTCCAGCTGCTCTGTCAGCACGCTCTGCTAAGATAAAATACAGTGCCCAAATGCAACTTAAGGAAGAAAGGCTTTGCATTAGTTTATAGTTCTACAGTCTATAATGGCATGGAAGGCATGGTAACACGCAGACTTGGTGGCAGGCACAGGAAGCTTGCATCACATTTTGCCAGACCAGAAGAACACTCTAGCTCTAGCTTCCAATGCTCTAGCAAGACTCATCCCCTAAAGTTTCCATAACCTCCCCAAACAGTGCCGCCAGCTGGGGAACACGTGTTCAAGTACATGCACATGCAGGGGTTGGGGGGCTCAAGTCTCATGTCAACCACCATATCCACAATGTATACTGAAAGCAAGGGTGTGATGAATCTCTCCATGTGTAAGCTGATTGGAACCACGTGGCCCTTCGTCTACAGCTGATGGGTCTACCTTGCCAGTGAGTGATCTTCATGCCGGGAACACCTCCCTGGGAAGTGTTAATGCTTCGGTGCAATGGGGCTCACAGAGAGAGAGAGAGAAGGAGGGGGTGGGCAGAAACAGACTCATCCATCCCCATGCTTTGTAAATATTAGATGCTACATTCCAGCTGCAGGTGACTCTTGTGTGAAAGAGTCCGAAGCTGCGTATTATCTGAAAGAAAAGTCTGTTTTGATAATACTACAAGTGATTTAAGACATCTGAGCATCTCTCCAACAGGTGATAAATGGGTGGGCTCTTCACTGCTTAATGCTTTTTTTTCTTTTTAAAGGAAATTTGAAATCTAGAGGACTACAAAAAGTAGCACATCTACAGTGCTTGCTTGGGCTAAAGTACCCTATGTAGAGTTCTAAAGTCAATACCCATGGGTCAATCTCATGAACTATTCGGTTTTCAATTATTTCATATATGTGTGTGTGTGTGTGTGTATTCATTACTATTCTTGCTGACAAACGCCACTTAAAGAAGACTCTTTGAGGGAATATGGTCCATCATGCCGGGGGAAACTTGGTGGGGGAACACGAGGCAAGCATGGGAAGCAGGTCCACATTGCATCTGGAGTCAGGAAACAGGGAGACAAGGATGCTGATGCTCAACTGGCTTCTTCTGCCGACCCTTTCTCTTTTTTTTTTCAGTTTGGGGCCCTGAACCATGGTATAGTGATGACAACACTCAAGGTAGGCTTTCCTTCTCAGTTAGACCTCCCTAGAAACTTCCTCACAGACATACCTCCAGGTGTGTTCCTTAGGTAATTCCACATTCAGTCAAATTGACAATGAAAATTAGCCCTCGAAACTATTTTTAAAAAGTAGGGTCAAACTTGGGAAGATGCCTTCAAGATAGTAATTTCATCTTACTGAAATTACTTATTTCTTTATCTGATGATAAAGAAACAAGTAAAAAGTAAACACAATACTTGCTAATCCCAATACAAGAAAGCCTACTTTAGGCTAAGAGCAGATCTATTAAGCAAAACACATGAGCAGCCAGGCATAGTGGTACCCACCTTCAATATCTGCACTAGGGAGGCAGAGGCAGGCAGATCTCTGAGTTCAAGGCCTGATCTACACAGTGCAGTCCAAAACAATAGTGAGACCCTGTTTTAAAAAAAAAGAAAGAAAGAAAGAAAAGAAAATAGAGGGTGGGAGAGAGGAAAGAAGGAAAAGAAAAAAGGAAACACATAGAATCATTCTCAAAGTCAAGAGAAGTTTCTAGAGTCATAACAGACTACCACCTACTGGGGTCTTCAGCATGGAGGTGGAAGGCCAAGATGGAGATGTTGGCAATACTGGTTTCTTCTAAAGCTCCTTGACTGGCACGTGATTGTCGCTCCTCCATCGTCTTCACATGGTCCTCCCTCGGTATGTTTAGTCATCTGAGGTCTCAGCCAGAAGGTCTCCTTTGAACTTGCGAAGACCCTAGGCCAACGTGTATTTTGAGGGGACCCAGTTCATCTCATGACCCCCAGCTTCCTTCAGAAAACCACAGCAGAAGAAATGAATGAACACCATCCATACAGAAGGAGATCCCACAGTCAGACTCCTGGAGCTGCCATTAGAGCACAGAGGAGCGGCCTGGACCATCTCATTTTCCAGCAGAAAACCACGGC